AAGAATGAAAAGGAAAAAAAAAAAAAAAAAAAAAAAAAAAAAACAGTTATCTCTTTTTACAGGTAAGATTTCATAGATAGAAAATCTTAAAAGTTTCTACCAAGAGACTATCTGAACTGATAAATGAATTCAGTAAAGGATAAAATATCAACATCCAAATATCAGTAGTACTGATATTTACACATGAATTATACACGAATAATGATGTTCCTGTGAATAAAATCATGAAGGTAACCTCACAATAGCTATGAAGAACAACAGGATACCTATTCATAGATAGAAAATCTTAAAAGTTTCTACCAAGAGACTATCTGAACTGATAAATGAATTCAGTAAAGGATAAAATATCAACATCCAAATATCAGTAGTACTGATATTTACACATGAATTATACACGAATAATGATGTTCCTGTGAATAAAATCATGAAGGTAACCTCACAATAGCTATGAAGAACAACAGGATACCTAGGAGCAAACTGAACAAAGGAAGTGAAAGACCCCTATAGTGAAAATTACAAAACACTGATGAAAGACACAAAAAGATGGAATCACCTCTCATGTTCATGATTAGAGTAAATAATACTGTTAAAATATCACATTATCTAAAGTTATTTTAGTTCAATTCCATCACCATCAAAATATCAATGATTCTTCGTGGAACTCGAAAAAAATCATAATTTTTTTTTTTTGTACCAGGGACTGAAAGAAAGAACAAAGCTGAAGGTGTCACATTCCCACTTTTCAAGACTTACTGTGGAGTTCTAATATCCAAAACAGTATGCTATTGGCATGCAAACTGACATGCAGAGTAATGGAGCAGAAAAGAGATCCCAGGAATAAACCCACACATTTGGCAATAACGGCACCAAGAATGCACATTTGGGTAAGGACAGGCTCTTTGATAAATTGTGCTGGAAAAGCTGGATATCCATATGCAAAAGACTGACTTCTGACTCCTATCTCAAACTCAGTGCAGAAATCAACTCACGATATCTGAAACATGCTTAGTGTCATCTGCCATCAGTAACATTTAAATAAAAGACGCAACAGGATATCCCTTCATCCCCGTTAGAATGGCTATTACCAAAATGATAATATACAATACATGCTGTGAGGATGTGGGAAAAAGGAATACTTACACACCCCTGGTGGGAATGTAAATTAATATAGCCATTACCCAGATTCCTCACAAAACTAAAAATCAATCTGGCATATGATCCTGCTATCCCCTTTCTGCTTTTACTTCTAAGGGAAGTGCAACCAACATTCCAAGGAGATGCCTGCACTCTGTGTTCACTACGTCACTATTCGCAACTCACAACTGCATCGCCCTTCACAATGGCAAAAATGTGGAATCAACATAGGTGTTCACAGACATAAATATATAAATAGAATATGATAGAATATGCATACATATATATATATATATATATAAATGTTATTCAGACATAAGGAAAAAAACTCTGTCATTTGTAGGAAATGGATGGAACTGGAGAATATTAAGTGAAGTAAGACAGACACAGAAAGACAAATATGACATATTTTCTCTTACACATGGAATCTGTAAAAACCAGACTGAATGAAGAATATTGGAGTTTCAGAAGGGGAAATGCAAGGAGGATGCAGTCAGGTTGGATAACAGACACCAAAATACAGTTAGGTAGGAGGACTGAGTTCTAGTGTTGTACAATACAGTGGAATGATTATACTTGACAATAACCTTTTATGTATTTCAAGAATATCTAAAAGAACAGCCCCAGTTTTTCAAATACAATGGATAAGGAATGGGGAATGGTAATCACCCTGATTCGATCAATGTACACTGGACCGATTGTTGAAACGTTATACAGTAGCTATTAATATATACAATTATGTTAACCAAAATATAAAGTTTAAATATTAAATTAAATTTTTAAAAATCCCCTATGATTTAAGGAAGTTGATATTTTCAACAATTGCTTATTTATGCTGGTGTCATCCTTCAAGTAAATTTTGTTTCTTTAAAAACTTCTAAGTCAAAGAAATCTGACAATGCAAAGCAATCTAGTATTATATAACGATTCCTGAACTCATTTAATTGATTTTTATGTTCAAGGTTTTACAATGCTTTTAGCTAAAAGTGGACTATTGACATCTTATCCCCATATATTAAAGCAGGATTTAATATTCAGGGAACCACCGAAATTTCTTATAACAATCTCCAATCTGTGTATAGAGGATAGGTAAAAAAGAGGAAGACTCCCTATGTAAGAATTCTTTTTCACATTTTATTGTGACAGTTATGTAGTTAAAGTGTGTAATATTTCTGAAAGTATTTTAATATATTTAAGAAAACACTGAAAGTAGAATTTTAGAGATGGGGAGAGTGTCAGCTAAAAAAAGAGAAGGAACAAGGGAAATGAAAATAATCAGGACATGTTATAGACATTTACCAATATGTCAAAATGAATCTCATTATTCTGTATTAATATTATCTACCAATTGTAAAAAGACAAAGGAAATGCATTACAGAATTTCTCAGCATCTGTACACTTGCTGGCTATAGCGTACATACATAATATAAACAAATAATGAGCAGATATTTTAAGTAAAAGATTTAAAAAACTTACTCTTTTTCCAGGAGGACCTGGTGGGCCAGCCTCACCAGATGGACCAGGAGGACCCTATAAAATGTGCAAACAACTTTTTAAAGAAATTTGATGTTACTGTATGGACTACACATTTTCTCAATATCTAAACTGAGACTTCTTTCCTTATTTCTACACTTTTACTGTTCCTGATAAAATCTAGCTTATGTGAGACACCTCAACTTTCTCTAGATAATTATATTTAAAGTTGTAAATTCATATGTTACATTTTTTCAAATGAGAGTAACTGATATTCCTACTATGTACAATTTTGTCTTCCTAAAAAGTGCTAATTTGTGTCTGGCAAGCATCCAAAATCTATACTAATTAACAGAACCATATGGTTAATAATTTTCCCAATTCACATAAATTTGTGAAACCACAAAACAGTTACCTTTAAATTTCTTCTTGCACAAACGCTACAATTTTTCCTGCCAAACTATACAAAAATTCTGGGATATAATCTACAGGTATTGGGCTGGGGATTTAGCTCAGTGATTCCAGTGCCTGCCTTGCAAGCGCAAGGACCCAAGTTCGATCCCCAGTACCAAAAAACAAAACAACAAAAAAATCTGCAGATATTATCTACACAAAATAAGCCTGCATCTCTGCCTGCAAATATCCAGTGGACACCTCTCTAGACATGACAAGTTCGTTTCCTCACTTACTTCTTCCTTAAACAACCCATGGTCAGAGAACAATTTATCATTTCTCAATTAAAGAAAAAAGTTTTATATTGTACCATGGTATGCTCATTTAGATTTATAGCTGAAGTGGTTTATGTTAATGAAAAGCTGCCAAATTGTTTTTTTCTTTCCCTCTTGTGTGTATTATGCAATAATTTTCTATGTAAAAAATGGATATATGAGTTTGACATTATATCTCAATATCATTAGCATGATGTAAATATACATTTGCATTATGAAGGCTTGGCTTATACATTATATCTGAATTCACATCAAGAAACACTGCATGTAAAATTGACTTTAGACTGGAATTCAAATATATCTTTCAGAAAAATGTCAATAAACTCTGCTGTGCTTTTGAAAGGTTGATCATTTCCAGCTATTTCATTAACTACAAAGTCCCTGAAGATTAGAAACAAATGACTGTGCCTGCTCACCGGTTGTCCAGGATCTCCATCTTCACCCTTGTCACCACCAACACCATCTTGACCCTATGATCAGCAACAGAAAGTGATCTTAGATATTTCTCCCTCTGCATCATTTCAATCAGGGACAAAAGCTTCAATAGGCTCTGCTAGTGTGTTCTTGAAATAAACTATGATCAGACAAGGCAATAAACTCATACTATTTGAAAAGAATTGTGATATTTTTGTACTCTTTCCAGAAAGATTTGTGAGACTGCTACTAAATCAAATTGAAAACATACCATGTATTTCAAATAAGCAAAGGAAAAAATGTAATTAGCATGCAAGGCCAGGGCATCTTGTCATCATAAATAAAAACAGTGCCGATTGAGATAGTATGTGTATTATAAAAAGGATCAAGACATATCATGTAAAGGTACAAGATCCCAATGATAAATGTAACTGTATTGTTTGCTTTAAATGTACCAATAAACTTAATGGGGGAAAGAAGGACAGGGAGAAAAGCAAGAATCCTGTAATTTAAAACTAATAATCCTGCTACTTGAATAATTTGTACAACTCAAAGTTTAGAAAACGAATCCAAATGAAAAGCATGGTCATACAATATAGATCTAATAGTTTTCAACTGCATACATTTTTGGTGTGATTACTATGGTCTATTTTTGTTCTTGAAGAATTTTCTTTACTCATTATGACTAAAGACACTGGGAACTCTCCACCAAATCATTCTTTCCTCTTTTCGTGATACTTACGGCTGGGCCAGGTTCTCCAGGAGGACCAGGATCTCCAGGAAAACCAACAGGACCCTGAAATGATGTTTTAGGAGAAAATAATTTAAAAATGAATTTTTATAATGCTATGATAGTTTGAAATTTAAGAGGTTAAAATTAAGGCACAGGCTTGTAAGAATATTAGTCTACTAGGTAATTGTTTTAAAGCAAAATCAATTAGAAATGCTTGTGAATACATGAAATGATGAAAATTCAGCTTCACCAACTATGGTCCAGAATATCATGATTTCTATCCTTCCAATGAAAAGGTCCAGAATGAATTTGGCCACAGTCACTTACTGGGTTACCCTTGGGGCCATCATCACCCGGTGGCCCCTTAAGACCAGGAGGTCCTGCAGCACCAGATGAACCAGCTTCTCCTTTCTCTCCTCTTTCTCCTTTGGGACCCTATAAAAGAAAAATAAAAGTTACTTTACTAGCATTAAATAGGAGCTTTTTAACCTTGGCACACTGAGCCACACAATTCTTCACTGTATTTTTTCTGTGGGTTGTAAAACGCCTAACACATCCATAGCCTTTACTAACTATAAAGGCCAGCAGCCATGGTGCCTCCATCTCTGATCACGCAAAATGTCTCCAGATGTTCCAAATGTTTCCTGGGCCAGGCTTAGTGGGGATGCATAAATTCATATGTGGTTTAAAAACTAACCTGTGATAGCTGAATGCAATTTCATTTCTAGTACAGTTCAGAAATGTTTATTCGAGGCAGCACAGGCTATTTTCTCTGTTTTATGTAAAATTCATCAAAGTCAGTGAATGGTTTTGCTTCTGCAAATATGATTTTTAAAATTTGTGAATCTAAATTTGTAAAGGATACGAAGTTATTAAAAATAAGGCTTTCCCTTTATGATCGCTTTTAAAGGATGGAAAGTGAAAGTGACCACGTGGGGCACAGGTATTCAGTTAGTAATAATTATTAATTCAGTTATACGTTTAAAATGCTTCAAAAGAAACTCCTAAACCTGTGCCCTATGGTGACAATAAGACAGCACTTACACTTGTGCCTGCTTCTCCAGGGGGTCCTGGGTTCCCTGCTTCTCCAGGTTCACCCTATAAAAAAAAATCAAATGAGGATTAAAACAGAATTTTTTGAATTTATAAAATTGTCTTCAGTTATAACTACATAATTTTACACCATCCATAAATTACTATTTTGTTGATAAAGCATCAAAACTTCAATAAAGAAAGGAGCTGTCTGTACTACTGACTTCCATAGTTGTATTAATCAGGTGGGAAATGAAAACTAGAAACACTAGATGTGACAGTTCTTCTAAATTAGGTAATAGCCAGCACATTAACCCATGTTACCACCAAACCATCGTAAGAGACAACGGCATGTTTCCTAATAAAATATGGAATATAGATATTATAACCTCAATATTCATATTATAACCAAGTATATTGATTAAATATTTCAAATTATTTTTACTGAACTACAAATTCACTTTTTCTTTATTAAATCAGCAAATAATTGGGTAATATGTTGATAATATTAGAGAATACATTTCGTAGAGATCTACAGAATATAGAGGAAACGATTATATTTGTGAAATATAGAAGTCACTTGTATACTAACAATTGCTTCATTTGAAATCAAACATTATAAATTTGATAGTTTTTATGATCTGTTTGTTGAGATGGTGATGGCTGTTCTCTAATAAACTAATAAATCTAGACTAGAAGCTAAAATCTATGGCTAATGTCTTAGAAATATATAAAATATAATAATGTGTTCATTACCATTAAAATGAGGTAATACAGTACATAGATGTACAGTGTTTGAATAATTGATGCTGCCAGTTTGAAATGGGAATTTTTGTAAATTGAAAAAATAACGAGGCTTATTCATCCTTTAATATTTTTTCTTTTATTTATTTATTTATTTATTTTTTTTGAGACAGGGTCTCACTATGTAGTTGAGACTGACCTGGAACTCACTATGTAGCCTGGGCTGGTCTCGAACTCACAGCGATCCTCCTGCCTCAACCGCCCGAGTGCTGGGATTACAGGTGTGCATCACCACGCCCGGCTCATCCTTTAATTTTAAACTCAGATATTTTCAGTATCTCTGGCTCAAGCTCACTCGTTCTGAACTGATTTGAAATACATCATGTTAAATATGAGCATAATACCAGAGAAAATACTTTTGTGTATATTTTTTCCTATTATCTGAGAACTTGAATATATTTTAATTTCTTTAATTATGTGCATAATGATTTAAGACATAAGGTATTTTTGAAAAAATATTTTAATTGGTACATTTTAGATGTACAGTACAGTTCCATTCATCATTGGGATCCTGTACCTTTAATGACACCTCATGGTTATTGTTTTTCCTCATTTCCCTGGCCTCCCTTCCCACCTCCATCCTTCCCTATTTACAAAGACTTTTACTTTTTTCCTTTTCTTTTATTTCTTCTCTTCCCGTTTTACCTTTCCCCTACCCCTCACATTTGCCCAATACCTTTAGACCTTTTCTTCCTATTACAAAATATCAATTATACATGTTGACTCTTATGTACACTTCGAGTTTATCACACCAGAGAAACTATATGGTATTTACATGTGTGTCCTATTAATTTCACAAAAGTATGTCCTCAATGTGCATGCACTTAGATATATATGTCTTTAGTTTCTCATTCTTTGTGGCTGAGTAGTACTCTATTTTATTTAAACACACACACACACACACACACACACACACACATCTTCTTTATCCAGTCAACAATTGAAGGGCAATTGGGCTGTTTCAAAGTTTTATCTATTACAAGCTGTGCCAATATAAACATGAGTGAGCATATATCACTCTGGTATGATTTTTTTATTTCTTTTGGGAAGATACCCAAAAGGGGAATAGCTGGGTCAAATGGGTCTACCAGTCCTAGTTGTTTGAGGTATCTCCATACTGATTTCTACAGTGGTTGCACCAGTCTGCACTCCCACCAACAATGGAGAAGGGTTCCCTTCTTCCCAAAACACGCCAACATTTGTTATTGGTTGATTTCTTGATAGCAGCCATTCTTTCTGGGGTGAGGTAGAATCTCAGTGTTGTTTTCACCTGCATCTCAAATGAACATGATGTTGAACATTTTTCATATATTTATTTAGGGCTTTTACTTCTTTGAGAAATATCTGTTCGTTTCAGATGCTCATTTTTTAATCGGATCTTTATATTTGGGGAGCATCATTTTTTGGGGTTCTTTATTCTAGATAGAGGACTTTAGACATCAAGTACTTTACAGAAATTTATTAGCAGTGTTATAATGTGAAAAACTTTTCCTCTCTGAGGATTAATGGTAGAAATTTGTAGTACTTTTTGTAAACCTTACAAGAGAAATATTCCATTTATATTATTCATGAACAGAGAAATCATTAACCTATTTCAGGAGGATATAATGACATATAAGTAGTGTTTTTTGAACTTTTATATCTTTGAAATAAAAAAGTAGTTTGTCATTCAAATGAGCTGCAATATGTCCATCTTAAATATTGTATGTATGAAATACATACAGTATTTATTTAATAATATAGAAAAACTATTGGGAATGTTAAAATATTTTGTTATGAACCACTTTAGCCATGTTAATATTGCAGAAAATTGGAAGTTAAAAAAAAAGAGCTATAGTCTTTTTAGTGAGGCTACATATGTGCTTTTCTGTTCGCTTTTCAGCCTTGTCAACTATAAATTTAAACTAACAAAGATTCTGAATATATTTTTCCTTTATTTATTTATTTATTTATTTAAGTTACTTATTTTTTGGTAGCATGGATCGAACTCTGGACCTTCTGTGTGCAAAGCAGGCAGCGGAACCACTGAGCTAAATCCCTGGCCTATTTTTCCATTTTTTAAGTGTAAAAATATTTAAATAATATTTTTACTGCAAAGTCTCTATTTTAAGGATTATATATTAAACTGCCAAAAAGTATACGGTAAAAATACCTTTATGTATATTGCAATCCAGTAGGGGCAATCTAAACAGCAATTATGAAAATGAAGTTATTATCTTCTAAACTGTCTCATTTCAAATCTTTTGAAAGTGAGTGGGAGAAAATTAAAGTAAATAAAGCAATGAAAGAAGACCGTTTATGAATTAAATCTATAGCTCCAGTATCAACAATGTTATTCGATTTTCACTTTATTATAAAATAATTTGTAAATTATATGGTAGACCATTGATACATGAATGTAGGTGCTAGATCATGAATTCATTTTAACTTATAAAACCATTTTATTGCATTCTACATGTCTTTTTTTCCATGAAACTTTGGGTAAAAAGCATCAAATTATTCTGTATGTCCAGAGTCATAAAAATATATTAAACATTATAGAAATGTCTTTCTATATTTACTTGTTCTGAGAGAATTTCTGAAGTTCAGAGATTACTAGAGCAAATATTCAGTATATGAAAAATAAATGTGTTTACACAAACTTCAGTGTGGATAAGGCTATTATGTTATTTCATTCAGTCAGATTTGAAGCTGATGTCAGAATTCTATAATCTATAGAAAATTATATTACACTAGATTCTAGAAAAATATTAGAATCATATTTTGATGATGCTATTGTTACACGGGAAGTTGAGAAAATAAAAGAAAACCGAAAACTCTTTGTTTTGTCATTTAATTTCCAATCGGGAACACTGAAAAGGAAAAAGTTAAGACACCAGTCTGATCAAACCAATCTCCTAAGATCCCAAATTGCTAATGTGTTGCTCCAGAGGCTTTACACTAAATGGATACAATGTGAGGCTTCCTCGGAAGAAACATCTGACACCAGGGCCTATGTTCCAGAGCTTTTCAGAAGAAACAGCATGAAAGAAGCAAAAGAAGTACTTAAAATTATTCTCTCTGCATTCTAAATCTTCAGGAAACAACTACGACAAGCTGAAACAGGTAATAAATCTGAAGGCTAATTCTCGCAGCTTTCTAGGCAGCTTTACAGCCTGAGGAGATGAGACACAAAGAAGAGGAAAATGCGGAATGCTAGCATCATTTATCAGTACAGTGGGACCTCAGAGACCAGTGATGTCTCCTACTGCTCTTTCTAGGATCAACGAATCCAATGATAAATGTTTCTTCAAACCCAATCCAATCACCGTATCAATTTAAACACAAAACTGTCAATTAAAGAATATAACAAAAGTCAGACAACACTGTGTTTGCATTAACACAGGTGATTTTTGTAACGTTTCCAATTTAGCGGGATGTGGAGGCACACACCTGTACTTCCAGCACTCTGGAAGACTGAGGAGAGAGGACTGCAGGTTTTAGCCCAGCCTGGGCAATTTTAGCAAATAAGAAATGGGCTATATAAAAATAAACATTAAATAAAGGGCTGGAAATGCTGGGAATGCAGCTCAACGCAAAGGCCTTCAGTTAATTTATTGCCTAGTTCTACAAAAGAGATGGGGATTACTTCTAATTTAATAAGTAATGAAGTATTTTGATAGTTAGTCATATAGTGGTAATTGTAATATAAACAAAAGAATTGGGTGCTTGGGAGATGAAAATGTTAAAATGATACATTTAATTTCATTATAATTCACTTTGGGAAGGATTAAATCCTTTAATTAAAATAAATAGGGCCACGAATTTGGCTAAGTGGTTCCAACACCCGACTCACAAGCACAAGGGCCCAAAGTAGATCTCCAGTACCAAAAATAAATAAGTAATAAATTAAATAAAATTAAATAAATGAATGTGTGGGCCAGAAATTTAGCTCAGTGGTGCCACACCTGCCTGCCTTGCAAGATCAAGTTTCTGAGTTCAATACCAGGAACTGAAAATTAAATAAATAAATAAATAAATAAATTTGAAAACAAGTTAAAATATATGAAAAAGGCTTGAGATTAAGAAACAGAATCACTTGTAAAGCATGGGATAAATTTGCACCACTGATACTCTTTAATAAATAGCAAATTCAGAAAACAAATTTTTTCACTGAATAATATTTTAGGTTATGAAATTTAATTCTTCCCTCAAAAATAGTGAACAAATTATTTTTTTAAATAAATCAAATATCCATGTTAATTTTCTTGCAATATTTATTAATAAGTGACCATAAATGCAGATTAAAAAATAACTGACTGGCCTTAAGATTTTGATAAAAAATAGAGCACATATTTGGATGAAAATACATTCACCAGAGAAGCTATTTTGAGACCAGATATTATGGCATATTGCAATTATTTTCAAAAATGTCAAAGACATATCATAGTGTCAGTAATGAAAATACAACCCAATGTATGAAAAGTTCAATGATTAATTGTTTTGTTTTGTGAAGGATTCTATTTCTCCTTTAAGGTGGTCATATTAAACAATCTCTTCTTTTGTCAGTACTAAATACAGTTATTTTACTTTCATCTCACAATAATGATTATAGTGGATTCTGGTATAGTCTCCTAACAAAATCTTTGATGAAATTTCTAAAATTCTTTCTTTTTTGAGGGGTTGGAGGTTTCTAACCCAGGGCACCCTACCACTAAACCACACTCTCAGTCCCTTTATTTTTTTTCATTTTAAGAAAGGTCTTTTCCAATATGGCCTTGATTTATTATTCTTCTGCCTCAGATTTCTATGTAGTTGGGATTAGAGGGTTGTACCACCACTTTCGGCTCCACTACTGAAATTTTTTTAAGCTTCCACTTCAAAAGTGGGTAATTGTGATATCAGCAAAATGCATGTTAAAGGAAATAGTTCATGTACCTCATTCATTCAATATCTTGCAACCAAAAGTACGATATTTCAAATATTATTTTAACTTTAATTTGTGTAACTACTAAACGAGGTGAGTTACACAACTAAATGAAAAAAAACTTAGAAAATGCTAATTCTAGAAGCACTTAAAATATTAGAACACTGTGAGAAGACATTAGTTTCTATTATCTCAAATTTCATACCACTAATTTCCTTACCTTTTCTCCAACCCCACCAAATGATCCAATAGATCCTGGGGGTCCCTGTGGTCCCTGAAATTTAGAAAAAGTAATACAGTTGGCCTCATTCTTGGAACAAAATAGAAAGTTAATAAACTTACATCTAGTTTTTTTTTCCAAAAGAGGGAGAATATATGTAAGAATATTCTCAATAATTGGAAGGTTGTGATAAAATGAGTTTTGAGTCATTAAATTCATTCATACAAATAATTTGCTATATCCCATTAACTTTCAAACATCAGAATTTAAACATAAAGAAGGAGATTTTTCCAGTTGTTTTCATGACAGTTGATCTTTAAATCATGATTTCAATCTCTCTAACCATGGAAGAGTCAGGTGATTTTATAGTGGATCAAAATGGTGACTCCATTAAATAATAACATAATATATATGAAAAGCACCCCCTTGTAAAAATTGAATTTTTCTTATATTACTTAATGAGAATTAAAACTCCAAAGCTCTTTTAGGTCAACACCTCCTGGTCTCTTAGGTTCTGCCCTTCTAGCATTAGAAATAGGCATAGAAGAGCAATAAAAAAAAGAGCCATAAGAATGAAGAGATCACATACATTTTCACCACGCAAAACACCATGTTAGAAGTAGATCTCCGAAGCCTAGAAAGTCACTAATCACCACAATAAGGTAGATAAATATGGCACTACTTTTCCAAATCCTAAATTTTGGACAAATTTTCAAGCTTGGAAAATACCCTTTTTATACAACTGAGAGGAAACATTTTCCTAGGTGAAATGTATTCTTATTCACATATTTCCCCTACACATTTTATAGACTGAAATACAAAAGGTAAAATTTATAAGAACCAGCTTTTGCATGGGTACATAGACAAAGAGTGTTTAGAGTATAGATCTGCTCTAGCACAAAGCCAATTACAGGCCACCTCTTCATGCCATGTTAAGAGAGGAAGCCTAAAGTTTCAAAGAAATCAAATATTTATTGAAAATTATCATATGTATGATAAGTAGGTATCAGAATGATTTGGTTTATTGTAATACAAATAATATTTCTGACTCAAGAATACATATATTTTGAATGTGAAATGTGTGTCTATTTTATATTTGTGGTGACTTATTCCCTATGAAGTCTTTTAAATGTATAATTAAGGGGAGTGAATAGCTGATCCTTCAGTTCTTATCCACTTCTAACACTGAAAAATGGTGCAATTATCTCCATTATATCTCAGAAAACAGCTGCTATGAAACAACACCAACACTTAAATTTTAACTTCAAAGTAATTAGCATATATTTCACAATTCTTACATCAGCTCCATTGGGACCTTGAGGGCCTCTTGGGCCAGGAGGACCAGGTGGACCCTATGAAAAATAAAACAGTTTACAAGGGTAAAACACAAATGCATTCCCCAAATTTGTCTTTTTAAGAAAACTAAAAAAAAAATTAAAGCCTTTGAAGTCATAGTCAGTGAAGCATTTAAGGGTGATGTTATTCTTAAAGAATGCATCATGTTATCGATGCCCCTTTTCACATATCTATGAGGAAGTTAGTACCTCAGAAATACAACAACTTGACAAGGAAGCCTGTGACTACTGTCAAGGATAAGGTCTAGAATAAAACAACTAACCATATTTTGTAACAGAATATAATAGATTATAAAGAGAACAAAAAGGAATAAGAAATATACTTCACTAGATGTAGAATTAATTTATTCAATAAAAGCACTATGTACTTTATTTGTAATTTTAGTTTGTGGGGTGTGTGTGTGTGTGTGTGTGTGTGTGTGTGTGTGTGAATTCTTCAGTTCTACATGCTAGAAACAGAAATGAGTAGCTATTTAGTTGTGTTCCCAAACTAAAAGTTATCTTTCCCAAGTGGGCATTAAAATTACCTCAGTGCACTTTTTATAAACTACTGATGGCTATAACTCCTTACCTCAAGGCTGTGATTAAAATAGTAACTAGTAGTCTATAGTGACTACTAGTATATTAGTATTTTAAAAAGATCGCATTTTATTTTGACACTGTGCTTATAAAGCTTTTCTAGTTTTACCTATTGCCACTGAGTCAAGGAGAATGTATCAGTGAAATGTATGAGTGATTCCTAGATACAGAGCAACTCTATCAAGAAAGTAACTGGCTATGGATCTGATGGTGTTTGGAAGTATTCATCAGCTATTTGAATCAATGGTACTTATTATGCATTCCATATAGTTAAGTTTAGTCAGTATGAGGTTTATTTCAGAGTATAACATAGGTGTAATTGTGTAATTGTTATGAAATATACAACATATAAAAGTATCAAGTGGATCTAAAATTTTGGGGCAATGGAGAAAGGAAACAGCAATTAAGAAATGTGTTCTTTACATTTTACTATGGATTTCCATTACTTTGGCAAATTACTTTTGTGTAATTTTTTTTCCTCATTGAGTTTATTGGTACACTTTAGGTATACAGTACAGTTCCATTCATCACTGGGACCTTGTACCTTTACATGACGGGTCTTGGTTCTCATTTTTTCCCCTTGTCCCTGCTCTCGCTTCACCCCCTCCTCCCCTTCCCATTTACAAACGCTTTATTTCCATTTTTTCATTTTCTCCTATTTTTTTCCATTCCCTTATTACCTTTCCCCTACCCATCCCACTTTCCCTACACCTTTAGCCCTTTTCTTCCTATTTCACATTGTCAATTATCTCATTAGGATCTTATGTACTAGTACAGCTTATTCACACCAGAGAAACTATTCAGTATTTATACATGCATGACTTATGTATTTCACTTAGGAGTATATCCTCAATATGTATCCATTTTCCTATGAATGAATCTAATTTCTCATTATTTATAGCTGAGTAATATTCCATTTTATAGAAAAACCACATCTTTATCCAGTTTCCAACTGATGGGCAAATGGGCTGTTTCCAAATTTTAGCTATTACAAACTGTGCTACTATAAACATAGGTGCGTATATATCATTGTGATATGATTGTAATGTTTAATAAGCAAATAAATGCATTTCAGATAGTACATGAAGTCTTAGAGTTCAAAGGCAGACATAATAAATACAAGTAATTTCAATTCATACCATTCTAATACAAAGTAATCTTTATTAATTTTCCATTTTGTCTCAAAATACAAGAAATATTTTAATCTCTATAAATATTTGCCACTTATAGAAATCCTGTGAGCATGTAACATATTATTTACTTGATCCACATCAAAGTCCAAAAAAACTAAGAAACAACTAACATGTGGAAATTCATTATACACAGCTCAACTATATATGCAGGATACAAATAACAGTGAACCAATGAATGTCAGATATGTGTATATCATTATGTTGAAGGGAACAAAAGAAAGGATAGATATTCAAAAACATGTATTAAAAATGTTTAATGATTTGTATATGGCAATTGAGTGGCAAAAAACACCAGGTCAAAACAGTATCATAAGCTTACGACTACACTGATCCCTATTAGTAAATTCTCAACAAGACAGGAGAGGTGTGAAAATGTATACTATCTGTCAACTTACCATGGGGCCAACATCTCCATTTTCTCCTTTTTCACCAGGTGGGCCTGGCAAGCCCTGAAACAACAGAGTAGAAAAATAAAAATCACATGTATTTAAAACCATGTTTGGTGAATTTCTAATGAAAAAGTTAAGGAAATACATGGAAACTAATATTTAGAGACTTGCATTTGCTGAAATATGTATATTTCATATTGTACAAATGTGATGAAATCACATCTATATTCAGAAGGAAAATTTATTTTTTGTACAATATTAAGCAATTTATTTTTATTACAATAACTAAATACTCAGTTTGATCTCAGAATTTATGACATAACACATTTCTTGGTATTCTTGTTTTTTCAATGTTTGTACTACAGCACTTCAGATGAAATTTAAATAAGAAATACAAATACAAACAATATTTAAGATCTCACTACCTGCTGATATTTTAGTAAAATTCTTGACTTTTAGTGCTACACTGCAGAGGCTAGGACTTATGTGGTTATGACCAAACAATAAATATAATGTATTTATTACCCTTATGCATGCATGCACAAAGTAGCTGAAACATGAATTTCAGGAAGCAGCATTTACCATTTTGCATAGATAATGACCTTTGAGATTTTAATTCTATTTTACCTTAACTTGCTCTATTTCCTTTAATAAATGCAGGAAATAACCCACTAAAGTCTTTTTCATGATCTACTAATTCCACATAATTTTCAATTGGGAGATTGTTTTACTGAATGTATTTTCAGTTTTAAGTGTACAGTATATTCATTTTCATGAGAAAAACTTTAATTACTGCTTTTTAATGGGCAGCACACACCAGAATTTCTTTTATCATTTGTTTTTCTCAAATGCCAGGAGTAAGATGTCTAAGAAAAGTGATGGCTATTGTGCTTCCCAAACTTTTTCCCTGATTTGAGAGTCTTATCTAGACCTGCAAATGAAGTTTTTAGAAAGATCTAGCCAAGTAATGTTTTCTACATCTTAGTCTGCCCAAAAATTACTATAAGGTGATTGCTTAAATTTTAGTTTCCCAGCCCTCAACTTCAGAGATTTCATTTCAATCTGAGGCAAGGAACTTAAATACATCAATACAAATATAGAGTTTAACACTGTTGACGTAAATATTTCATTTTAAGAGCATTTTCTGAAGTTATAGGCATTGTTAATGAAATATAAACTTTGAGCAAACTCCACATACCATAACAGTCACATGCCTTTTCTTTTGTTCAATTTTCTACGTATTTAGTATAGAATCATCAAGTTTAATGACAGCTTAATGTGTGGATACATCTTCAGAAAAATTAATGATACTTGATAAAAATATTTGAAGTTCTGATATACATATACATAAAATACTCATTATGATTAAAAATTGTTCCCAAGTTCTTTCATACCAAAGGGAAAAGAGTCTTTGTTTTACCTCCACCGAGACAAGTTGGGGTGAGGCGAAATGATGACGTAAACAATGTAGAGAACACCTTACCTGAAGACCAACTGGGCCAGGAGGTCCAGGGAAACCTCTTGAGCCCTCATCACCTTTTTGTCCAAACATGCCCTGCTGTCCTCGGGGACCTGGCTCTCCATCACCCCCCTAGAGAACAGTAACGGAAATTATCACACACCGCAAAAACTATCCAGAAATACTATAGAAATATGTTGCCTTTTCTAATTCATTAAAAGCTAATGTATTTGAGAATAACCAAAAAAAATTAGACTGAATTCCCATGATTTGTTTCAAGTATACCATTGTTTGTTTTCCTAACATTCTTTGTTTCTAGAGTATGGTTGATTCTGATTTGATCAAGCACATCAAATAAAGTAACAACTGTGCAATGGGGAAAATAAGGTTCATAATTTATTGTACATTGAGTACTTCAAACTACTCATTCTCTATTTTCTGACCAAGTCATACTAATTTTTATTTATAAGGATCAGCTAGTTTAGCTACATTAATTTAAATGATTCAACATCAAGCATAGAAACATAAGTACTGCCATGGGCGGGGGGAAATCCACCAGTTATATAACAGATCATATATGTAATCAGGAATTTGTTAGGATTTAGATTTGGTAAACAAAGAGTACTTACAGCAATTCCAGGGGCACCAACTGGTCCTTGAAGACCAGGGGGACCAGGAGGACCCTACAGGGAGGTAAAAATCAATAATTTTGAAACAAACCAGGAAAATGTCAACTATATATATAAAAACCTTTGGCTGATTACAAATTTATATAAAAGAAACCATATTTCAGAGTAATTTGTACTTAGAATGGTCAAAACAGTTTTTTTTTTAATTTTATAACTTGGAGATTTATACTTTCATAATTGGAGTCAATTTTAAATGACATTTATTGAAAAGCATTAGCACCTTCAATGTTGTAAATGTCTTAAAATGGAATAGTATGCTAATCTAAATCAAATTGAAGATTCACATTTGAAAAATTTTGAAACATGAGATTTCTTTCATGAGATATGTATGAGTCAGAAGCAACACAGGGAACAAACTCAGGTCCTTGTGCTTGAGAGGCAGGTGGTGGAACCACTGAGTTAAATCCCCAGCCCATATTTTTTTTTCTGTCTACTAACTGTTAATGAATATCTGGATTCTGAGGATTCTATATGGATAAAATGTAATAATACAAAAAATTTTAAAATGTTTTACATAGGCACATGCCAAACTAGTATTACATCAAATATAAACAAATCCTTATCATGAACAATAGCTCTCAAAAGTCACTAGGAGTCCACATGCACAGGTACTTCTTAATCAATTCATTTTCTTGTATTAATAACTGGTCAGGTTGTATAAATATTTCAGGCCCTAAAAAAATAAAAGTCATTGGATTCTATTGTTCTTTATCTCAGTATTGGGTTTTGGGAGAAATTGTCTCAAGAAAAGAGTGTGTAAAAATGTCTTCTAAGGATACCTGAAAACCTTTAATGTTTAATAGGAAGCTCAAAATTGTTCTCATAAAGCCCTATGACATTATTTCTCTTTTATACTTTGTATAGATATGTGTAGTCATGATGCAAAAGAAATAGTGAATCAAATTGCTGGTGGCTTAGCAGACATCATGCCAATAGATAAAACATTATAGCAGCCATAATACTTTCAGCAACATGTACTCTTAGCCATCACAAAAATGGTTATGTTCTTGATGAAGCACTGAAAGTTCTTAGTTTTATTAAATACTGACTGTGTGCAAGTCTTTTGATTTTTCTGTGATCAAATTTTAAAGGCACATAAAGTTATTTTGTATTATACTTAAATGCAATGTCTATCACATAAGATATTTATAGTTTAAATTTCAATCTGAACCAGCAATTTTACTTGAAATACTATTTTCACTTGAAAGACAGACTGATCATAAAACTTATTATTTAGACTTGGGAATCTGGCCGGAATATTATTGAAAATATAGCATGTCTTTGTTTCCATTTTTTCCTTTTCTTGTATTTATTTCTTTCCCTTCTTTCCTTTCCTCTACTCCTCCACATCCCCTTACCTTTGTAAATAGGGAAGGGTGGATGGGCTGAAGGCAGGACAGGAGAATAGGGAAAAAAATAAGAACCAAGATATATCATGTAAAGGTACAAATTCCCAATGATGAATATTATATTGTATATCTAAAATGTACCAATAAAATTAATGAATAAAAAAAGAAAAGAAAATATAGCAAGGTTATGACTTCAAGGAAAATAATTGACTACTTATTATCAATGATAAAATTTAAACCTTAAGGTAAATTAGAATTTTTGAAATCTTTTATCTATCACTTTGGGCCTCATAGCTTCCCTTTCTGAAAGGATTTAAATAAAATAACATGAAAAGCTTGCTAGTTTGGTATCAGAATCCCTATTAAAGTTGATCCTTTAAAAAATCAGCATTAGCACAAGGCCCAGAGTTCAATCCCGGGTACAAAAAATAATAATAATAACAATAATCAGCATTTATCAAATTTCTATGTGGGATCAAAGAATATCCAAATTAACAGATTTTTAAAATGTTTCTTCCTTTTCTAACTAGATTTTTGTGTGAGCATGGATTTCAAAAAAAACAACATGTCATTACAGACTTGACCGAGATACAAACTTAAGTCTAATCCCTGGCCCTAAAGCTTCTTTTAAGTGAAGCACAAATAATAATCTTGTTCCTTTTACTTCATATATTTGTTTGAAGAAAAATATAGGTATTATTCAGTAAATGTGTTTGTTATTAATTTAAAATAAATCAATACAAGAATATTTAAAATTTCCTTATTGCAAATCATTATAAAGACTGACAAAGAAAAAAAGCATTTTGATGTTTTAAGAAATGTATGGAGTGTATAAGACAAAAATGTGTGAAAATGAATTGATTAAGTATCAGTCACACAGTCATATTTAAATAGCTTTTAAGGAAGAAAAAATTTTTTTCTAAAATGGCTTTTGCTTAATGCATAAGGTATTTTAATTAGATAAATAGTATGTGCTTTACTGCAATTGTCTCTCAGTTATTTTTGTTTTTGTTTTTTTCCAGCTTTAATTGAGTTTATTGATATATTTTAGGGATACAGTCCAGTTACATTCATTGCTGGGATCTTGTACCTCTACATGACAAGTTTTGATTCTCATTTTTTCCCCTTACCCCTGCCCTCCCTTCACCCCCTTCTCCCCTCACCATCTACAAACACTTTATTTTCATCAAATAAGGTATTTTTGTTTTGATTCTAGATTTTTTTATTCTTACTTATAAACAGTCATCTTATAGGATTTTGCAAGTCGATTGCAATGAAACTTTTTGAAGTTATGTGTTCAGATATTCAGTCATTTCAACTAAGAAGGCATCAGAATAACAAGCCAAGGGCAGAACTTGAGTGTTCTATTAGCAACACCTGCCAGGGATGATACACACATTTCTATACTGGGTCATAAATATACAAATGGACATTGCTTTCTCAGTTTGGATTTCTATTAGAAAGCAAATATATAAGCACTTATAGAAAACTGGAAATAAGTAAATATATGTAGATCTTATTTAAAAATATAAAATAATTAAAAACCGGTACAGAAGCTATCATCATGAAATATATTTAAGAAGGAGAAAAAAATTAAATATGTTATTCGAATAGTATTTAAAATCATAAGGAGTGGAAAAAAGTCTTAGAGGTAATAGTAAATACACCATTTGTGTGAGAAATTATTTTGATAGTTTCATCATTTGTTAATCAAAATAAGTACCATATATGAGAAAAGCCTTGGTAATCTACAGTCACATAGAATGTAGCAATTGTATTTATTTTGACACACGTATGCATATTTTTATCACTACTGTGTGGAAAAAGGCCATTTCTTTATATTACTCTTATTTCTTTATATTACTCTTATTTAATAAAGTGGGAATTATAAAAAAACCTTGTAAATATCAGACTTTACTTAATCACATAAACATAAAAACTCAGAGAATTATACAGTATTTCAAAAGATAACAAAATACATTTGGCTAGTTAACCAAGTGGTACTACTGAGAAATATTCATGGAAAACAGTGAAAGATGTTAGATGAAGACGCAGTCTCAGTAAGTGCTGATCAACTCACATTTTCTCCTTTGTCACCCTTGCTGCCCTTTTGTCCTGATTCACCAATTTCACCCTGCATTCAAAAGGTTTAAATTAATCTCCGTCACATACAACATTGCACTGTCACCATTACTACGGAATATAATTATACGCTAGTGTTTAATAACACGGTTTAAAGTGCAAAATCCTGGGCTCTCTCTGCTCCGGAATTTCTGATACCGACTAGAACACAGACAAACCAAGTCAGCTGAATTGCGAGGAATACTGAAACTATACAATTTAAATGATTTATTTTGCCTGGAATGTCATTATAAACTAATAATGAAAGTTCATGGATTTACAGGCAAACAATCTCACATTAATAAAAAAATTATTTACTTCTATTTTCTCAGTTTTGCAAATATTAAGGAGGTGTATTATCTGATTCACAAATGCTCTATAGCACTTGTAATAATATGAAAAAAACATGTAATACAAATATTTGGCATGACCCTTACAGAACGAAAAGTTTAGGGTTGTATATTTTGGCAAAAGGGAATAGTAGGTCAAGTGAGAAGCTCCATCGCTCTGTGCAATATCCAAGAAACAAGGGCTAACCATGTACAAGTAATTATTTTTTATTTTATATATATTCAGAAAAAAAACCGCTCTGGTGATTATTAGTTTCTTATTCCTGTTTTTCTTTTTTTAATATTTAAAATCTGTATAGCATTTAAGGTAGGACAAATTAATGCTCAAACTCTAGAACAAAACTTTTGAGCACATGGAAGGTGCAATAAAATTTGAAAAAGGTTATCATTCAACTGAAATCTAAATCCCATAAATGCTAAAAAGAGAATGCATGAGAAAAAAAAAAATCAAGCTCTTTCACAAACTGTGCTAACACAAATAAGAAGCACCGACCTTGTCCCCATCTTCTCCGGGAGAGCCAGCAGGACCAGCCGGCCCTGGGAGACCCACGGGACCTTGAATTCCATCTCTCCCTGCAGGGCCTTGGGGACCTTTTTCTCCCTGCATTGAAAATTCAAAAGATAGCAGTTTGCTTAAGAAACCAGAGAATTAGCTGTTTGCTGCAATATTTAAGTATAACTACAACTACATAAATAACTAAACTAGCTCCTATCATATATATATATAATATATATATATGTCATATATATTATATCAATATTAATAAAATGTGGCACGTTCTTCATGTGAACTTGACTACTTGAAACACAAAATCCAACTCAGATGTCTCCACGTAATTTGAATTTCTTGCTAACCTTATTCAAAAAGTCAATTGCTTAGTACAAGGGTATCTGGAAATTAGATTTCTTCTTATCTATCGTCACATTAGTACGCAGGAATCACTTTCCATCTGTTTCTTCTGATCTTAATAGGTGCAGAGATGGGAAAGGTCTTTCAAATGTTACACAGTGCTGTAAATTTAGTTTTACCATTTGATGATGACAAGAAATTGTTTAATGACTCTAAGGGAGAAAAATTTCCAGCTATCAAATAGCACCAGAACAGATCCCTACATTCTTTCATCACTAAGAGCACTGTCCCTTTTAATCATTTATGACTCTGGCTATGGCCCACAAAGCTAACTAAGAGCCAACTGAGAATTTTTCTTTCAAACATATACTTTCTAAGCAAGACTTGGCACAGTAGATGCCTGGCGTCTGTCTGTGAATCTTGCTGAGCCTCTCTGCCTCCTCTTCCTCCTCAGTGCCACTGGAGTCCCTATGTAGTGGACACAAGGCTTAGAAAACCATAAAATCCACTTGCTCATGTGTCCAACTTTACATGCCTTCCATGTACTTTTTGAACGAAGGCCTTATGGATTCTTCTGGATATTGACATTTTAATTTCCTGATTCAAAATTTATTTATTTTTATTCCGTCAACAGCCATCATTTTCCTGTTTATAAATTCACCTGTTATATGATTTTAAATAATACATACTTGAAAATAGAAGACAACTTCTATATCCTGTAAAGTAGGGGTCCCCGTGGGGAGATCTGTCTATGACCTAGTAGAGAAACAAATCTGCAGAGCGGGAGAGGAGGAGCACAAGCAAAGCTCCATCTGTTTTTACTGCGGCTCCTCATGCCTGGCTTTTCCACCGGATCTGACCACCTCTTCCTGTCAGATCTGCAGTGGTTCTCCAGTCTCACAGGAGATCTGAGCCTGCTGAAAACTGGGAGCGGGAGGGCGCTGGGTTCGGTGCTCCTTCAAAATCATCCTGAAACCATTTCTCCCTCCTAGTCTGCGGAAAACTTACTTTCCACAGAACCAATCCTAGGTGCCAAACAGGTTGGGCAGTGCTGCTGCAAAGTATCTTTTCAGAATTTAGAGCAATCAGTTTCTTCAGTTGACATTTTATTAGTTTTGAATAAGACAACATGTCCGAGTGCATTCGGTGATTCTCTTTTTTTCTTGTCACACCAGCTAGAAATCTGCATCCTTAGGGCCGGTCTTTGCATGATCCATTTATCTGCAGTTCCCTCACCATCTCCTTCTCCTTTATACTGACCACCTTTTATCTGCTTTAAGCTTTAGTACCGAGTGGTTTTTGTTTCTTTGTTTGTTTGTTACACCAGGGATTGAACCCACAGCTAGTACATGCTAAGCAAGGCCTCTAAAAATCAACTATAACCCTATAGCTACTAGTTATATCTTGAATGTAGTTCCTTTATCTTATTTCTCTCACTGATACTTTATTTTGAAATATTAGTGTATTTGGTGTGAACTAATAAATTACCCACTACCTTTTCCCACATCGAATAAGCTTAGTGTGACCTACCATGACCTAACCCCTACTACCTTATCAACCACTTCTAGCTAATTAATGACAATAAAAATAAAACACCTATAAGATAAAGTTAATTTGTTGTCAACTTGATTATCTGTCCAAAGTCCATATGTTTTTGTTTTTAAAAATATGACACAGTCATTATATAAAACATACTCTTCATGTCAACCTGATATATTTATCAATAATATATTTCAAACATATCAACGTTCATAAAATGTGGCACGTCCTTCATGTGAACTTGACTACTTGAAACACAAAAGCCAACTCAGATGTCTCCACGTAATATGAATTTCTTGCTAACCTTACTCAAAAAGTCATTTGCTTAGTACAAGGGTATCTGGAAATTAGATTTCTCCTCATCTATTTTCACATTAGTACGCAGGAACCACTTTCCATCTGTTTCTTCTGATCTTAATAGGTGGAGAGATGGGAAAGATCTTTCAAATGTTGCCCAGTGCTGTAGGTTTAGTTTTACCATTTATAATTGCCCAAGATAGCATAACTTCCTCCCTTATGGATCTCTTGGACTACAACCTATACAACCACTAGAAATATCTATATTTCCTTAGAAGACATCTTCATTTCAGCCCTTCTACCTCTCCATTTCCATAAAACTCCAGATCTTTCCATAGAAAATCGACAGTTCATTTCACAAGCCTCATGTCCTTTGTTTTACTTGGCCTGGTCTCATATTTAACCTATATCTACACTTTCAAACAGTATCACAATTCACAAAATGCACTCCTCTTTATTCAAAAGCTAACCCACGCATTTATTTTTAGGTATCATTTCATCCTTCTTTGTGACAGCTCTGGTTCACATATTAATGATGATGATAAAAAGGATTACTGAAAAGCTACAAAATGCTTTAGAACTATAATTTCACTTAATCTTCATGAAGCAGTATGATTATCCTCTTTTTAGAGATGAGGAGACAGAGTCCTGATGTGCAGAAATTTCAACAAAATTATGAACTATATAAAAAGTAAAGCTAAGTCCAAACCCAATTTTAATTATCTTTAAATTAGTAACCCTAACCTTTTTTAACTTCACTTTTCACTGATTCTTATTGGTATTGTATTATGTCCAGGACATAAATAATAAGAGGCAATGAATTCAGGACTTCTATTTACTGACCGTTTTTCTTTTAGCTCCCTGGTTCACCTGAGGCAATCCACCTGAATCAACCCTAACACTTTTATTTTTGAGCTCCATTATAATTATCCTACAATTATAAATGTCCAGTGGGTCAAATCCCAGTCTCTCCCTCTTCAGCTTTTAATATTACTTGTATTTTACAACATTACATAAAGAGACTCTTCTCTCTTGGTCTTTTTAATGATGTACCTCTGAAGTCCATATACACATACCTATATACATACATATATTTTTCTTATGACTCATAGTATCTTTTAGTTTTGTTTTCTCTTATGGAATCCTTTCACAACTCACACATATTATGATTTTTCAGAATCGATCCAAACCTCTGTTCCTTCTCAACACTGTATCATATAAATCAGAAAGAACGGCTCTTAACATCGCTTTTCAATAGGTATATGGAGCATATTTTTCCTAAGATCCCTAACTCCCAAGGCCTAATTTATTTATGGTTAATTCATTTTCTTTTCTGTGTCTTGAGTCTAGCTTTTCCAACCATTCTTATAACTAAACCCCCCAAAAGATACCTAATGAATAGTTTCCTACCTGTAACCCTTCTGTGAAGCCCAATACCAATACAGTTTTCCTTAAAAATCATGTTCCTTATCAAAAATTTTTTTCTATGCAAGAAATTGGAAGAAGTTTTAGCTCCCTCTCTGGTCTCACCTCCAAGAGTTTCTAATTTGTTTCATAATTTGGGGTGGTGTTTAAGCCATAATTACTGCCATAGGTAGGTCTTCTGGATATGTATGACTCTGTTTTTCACTTTTTCACTTCCAAGAAATGGGTGCGTATAAGTGGATCAAGGGCTTGAATTCTATAGGACCCAACTCTTGTGTTTTTCCTCATGCAAACCTATACCTGCTGATAATTGCTCATCATTTTTGTAACAAAAGCCACTCAAAGGACATGAAATTTAAAATTTATATTAGGAAGAGAAAAAAATAAAACACTACACTTAACATTCTGGCCAACATTTCCATGAATTTTTTTAAACTATATTTTGCGTGGGTAACACTCCTTAGAAATGTTACTAAATAATCTGCAACAATGCATAAGATTCTAATAAGATTACTGACATTTAGAAATTGGAACAAAGGAGCTAAAAGTGTAGGGAAGGTGGGATGGGTAGGGGAAGAGTAAAAAGGGAAAAGAAAAAACTGTGAGAGAATGAAAAGATGAAAATAAAGTGTTTGTAGATGGGGAGGGGAGGAGGGGGTGAAGGGAGGGCAGAGGTAAGGGGAAAAAATGAGAACCAAGACTTGTCATGTAGAGGTACAAGATCCCAACAATGAATGTAACTGTGCTGTATCCCTAAAATGTACCAATAAACTCAATTAAAACTGAAAAAAAATGTTACTAAGTCTAAGATCCCAACTGAATGTAACTGTGCTGTATCCCTAAAATGTACCAATAAACTCAATTAAAACTGAAAAAAAATGTTACTAAGTCTAGTGTAATTTTTCTCAGTAACAATTTATAAGAATAGAAGGAACATCACGGAGCTGCTTTTAGTGGCTACCGCCGACAGAGGGTAGGTGAGCAGGACATTTCCTTTCACTTTCCCTAGTCACAACTGCCCCAATTATCAACAAACTCTAGGTCCAAATCCTACTTCTTCAATCTGCCAATAATTTTTCCTTTGTCCCTCCAAATAAATTTCTCAAAGTCATTTCCAGTGCTTTTCTAATCTAATCTTTATTTGAATGTTTTATTTCTTCATAAAACCCGCATTTATCTGTTTAAACCCCCAGTTCGATATATTATCTTCACAGAATTCTTGATTTCTCTAGGACAGTCTCATTTGGTAGAGGAAACAGCATAAATCCCTTTTCTCTGGATGCCAGAGAATTATTGTATTGTGCCAAGACAAAATATATGGGCCCAAGATTTCTGAATGTACTTCTGTCAAAGAGACAGAATCTAAATCCTTCCTGTCTCCTTCTGGGGCATATTCTAAAATATAGCTCTTTAAGAAAAACTTTAAAAGTGTTTTTTCTTCCACCTTATATAAAGAGGTGCTATAGTTTCATACTGACGTTTTAAGTGTCTTGGAAAGGTAACAAAGTACAAGAACTTATTTTTTTCAATTAGGAAGCTGGTACGCTTAGGTCCGCCGAAAAGTATGTTTAGGGAACGTTAATTCCTGATACAACAGAGTTGGAATGTGGAGACTAACGTTGGTGAGGAGGCCCTGGAGACAGAATGAATGAATGATTGAATGAATTAGTAAATGAATGCCCTTGTCATAGGAGAGGGTTCATTTTCACAGGAGCAGATTGGTTGGAAAGAGGATCTCAGCCCTTTTACCCTCTGTCAATCTCTCTTTCATATAGGACGATGCACAATGAAGCTCCTCTTGATCTTGGACTTTCTTCCTCCAGGACCACGAGTCAATACATTTCTGTTCATCAGAAAATATTCAGCTAGTGGTTTTCTGGGATAGCAGTAGAAAGCCAGAAACACCTCAGTACTGTCGTGAATTAATAGAATACTCTACGGACAATGAATGCAATTCACTTGCTACAGCTGTAATAATCGTTTTGTGAATTATAAAATTAAACTTCACTATGTAAATGTACAGAAAGATTAAACTTATATTTTTATACATCATGACCAGCACTTTTTATTCACATTTATTGAATTAGTTTGCTATTTTTATCTTGGAGTAGGAGAAAATGTTTTTATGAAAAATGATTAAATCAAATGCAGAAACATAGTAAAATATTGACACAGAAACATAAATACAATGAGTAGTATAAACTACATAATCACTAACATATAAATATTTTAAAACCCAATAAATAAAGAGTGAAATAATTGGTCAGATATTTCCCACCTCTCACTTGAGATCAAAGCCAAATGAGCAGCCATTTTTTCTAAAAAGAGCAGCCATTTTCTCTGTGATCCAGTCAGACTATGCCAAAGCCTGAGATGGAAGTAATAATACAAGAAGTGTGAAAAGTTCACACTTTTCTAATATAAAGCAGGAAGGTAGCTTTAATCAAAATTCCCGATTTTATTTTTTAAAAAGGAGTAAAATGAGAAGGGTTTTACATTAATAATATCTAACATCCTCACAGATATTACGATTTCACAAAGTGTGAAAAATGTCATCTCATTTAATTGAACTTGAAGTTTCTCTATTATAAATAGGAATGGAGGTGTCTTCATAAACCAGGCACATATGCAGAAAGAATACAGTCAGGTATGAAGAGCTAATATTCCTCAATAAAAAGTAATAACTTGTGTTAGCGGTTTAATAAATTATCTCCTTGATGTTACTTACAGGGGCACCTTTCTCTCCAGCTGGTCCAGGAGGTCCCTGGGGTCCCGGACGCCCTGGCAAACCAATGGGGCCAGCGGTCCCTGCTGATCCGCGTTCTCCGGGGGAGCCCTAGTAAACAAGGGGGGAAATATTCTAATGAAGGAAAAAAAGACAGTGACTTAACAGTCACTTAATGAACAATGGAATCTTCCAGTTCGGTAAAACATGTAAAAATAAATTTTAGACGATTTTAAAATCTCCAAAAAGAATTGCTGTAACCACTATTTGGAAAACTAATTTCTAGTTCCAATATTAAATGCAAATGTTGAAGGTGGGAAAGATTGATGATGTGAAAGAACACCTTTATATATTTAATATTGTATATATTTTTTCTTTTTTCATCTGTTTACAATTGTGCACAATATAAAATATGCAACCAATACATCTAACCTTTCATGCAGTTTTCTTTTTGGATTATTAAAGATTGGCAGAATGCACTCCCAATACTATTTTTAAAAATGACTTCTGAGTTTTAATTCAAAGCTACTTAATCAAAATTTCTAAATCCAAAGCATCCCTTTAGACATTCTTAAATATAATTGTTCAAACACTCAAATTTGATAATGTTACCCAGACTGAGACTTTTCCCCAAAGCATAAGTCCTTAAATTTAATTAGAGTCTTCTAGGGATCATTGGGTCTTATCAAGATGGAATAGATAAATCCTATCTGATTGGGTTTGTCCAATTTACCTTGAAGATATCATGTGTACTGTAAGTAATTTGCTTTCTAAAATCTCATGTAAAGTTTTTTTAAAAAATAAGTTTGTGGATACTGCTTTCATGTCAATTACCTCTAGCAACAATTTCAAAACAATATTTAGTACAAGAATAAGAAAAATGCACATATATTTACTAAATTAAGCAAAGCTCAAATTAAATCTATTTCCAATTTTGTTTAATAAAGTATGACTGTCTGTTGTGTTTGGATTAATTTACTAGCTAAGTTATTAAGTTATAATTTACCACATTATTTCATGGCTGAACCAAATGTAGAAATAGTTTCACACCAGTTTCACTAGATAACATTATCATTAGTACCTTTCTTTAGGAATTAACATCATTATAAAATGATATGATTTCAAAACTCACAGAGGAAATAATTTATAAAACCTGGAAAATATATGTCTTTAACACTTACTGTATTTGCTAATATTGAAAATCATTTTATTGTACAAGTGTGAAGTACTGAACTTGTTCTAAATTATATTTTAATTATCTTAGGAACTAATTACTCATGACTATGAGAACAATGGTCATAATACCCACAATTTGGGTTGATACAGTGTTTTACACTTCACGAATTAGTTCACTTGACTTTTTATTTTAATCTTACCAAATTTCCTTATAAAGTTCCAATAAATTGATAGTTGTAGCACCTCCCTTTTAAATCTAAGGAACCTGTGGTTCAAGGTTTATCTATGGACAGGTTAACCCTCCTCGGAATCATGTAACTAGTTGAGGGAACTCCAACCTTAGAATCTACTCAGCACTTTCTCCAGAAATGCACCACTGCTTCTCTTTGATGAGTATATCAATAACACCCAATGGCTATTTACTTGGAATGTCTTTCAACTCACTCCACATTCATTTTTGCTGAAATACTCATTGATTATGAAAACTTTACCTTTTAATTTTCTGACATTATTTTCTTGTTAAATTCACCAGCTATATAGAGAAAATTTTAAGCTGGTTATATGACTACTAAAACAAAGTGAAAGGAAAGAATGTAGGTATGAGGTTATAGGAGACAAAGATTTTTGTTGTCATTGCTGTATGAGCAATTCAACCACTGTTGTAATTTTTGTGATTGTGGGGTATTTTAAACAGAGGAGACTGAAATGATTTGAGAAACTATGCCAAAATATGGTTAAAAAAATTGTAAATTTTGAACTTTATTTAAATAAAGACTGGTATTTTTGAAGTATGTGCATGTGTATAAAAACAAACCTAAAAATTTTCTCATATGCATAATCATTAATGAAGAATCCTATGAAATTACATATTTACAATCAAGTATTCCACAAACCAAAGACAAGGATAGTCACAAGAGAAATTCAGTTAGTATTTTCCAAATAAAACACATCTACACTTCTGTCAAAGTGTATTTTTTATCTCATAATAAAATACTTTTTTGGAGAAGAGTCGATCACAAATGGTACGACCAAGAATCAAATGGGAGACTTGGGGTGAATAATTTCAGAGACCAGTGCAAAATCTAGAATAATAATACGAGAAATTTCTAAGTGTTGTACATTCAAAACATACAGCCCTAAGAGTGAAAAACAACACAAGTATTTGTCTGTAATTATTTGCTGGAGAAAAGGACAAGGAAAATGTGGGGAGATAAATGGGAAAGGTAGAATAAAAAGAGGAGAAAGAACGAGTTTGCTGAGAGGAGAGCAATGTAAAATATTTCAAAATAAAAAGAAATTTGTAATGCACCTTAATGGATACATTATGAAAGACATGTTACATGAAAACAAACCATGGCTTATACTGAAGAAGAGAGTATTTGTTAAATTGATGGTGGGCTGCACTTAACATTTAAAATTAACATATTTCAAATAATTACTTTCATATATCTCAAGTAGAGACAGAATGCTGATTTGAATGTATGAGCGTGTGCATAGTTTATAGATATACACTATTTTCTCATTACAAAGCGTAACTATTTTAATTTCTTCCTTGGAGCAGTTATAAGATTAAATTTTAGATTACCATCTTTCTTGTGGAAGCTATATTAAAATTAGTAACAAAAATATATTACTTTTCTGTAGTTAAAATATTGTTCATGATCCTTGTCACAGCTCATAAACTTTGAAACAAATGATGGAAACAACAAGAGAGTTTTTCAATGTATATTTGTGCCCTAAAGTACAATTGCAATTTCCTTTTCTGCTGGTTACTTCAAAGTTTTGATAAGCCTAGATATTTTTAATAACAGCATGCTCTGCAGTGATTTTATTTTATGTATAAATAATGAAGCGCGAACATCTCTGATGGTGCCTACTGATTAAGTAAATGATATATAACAAATTGTAAATCTTTTAAATATTCCCAGGTCAACTTTAAAAGAATAAACTTTACGAATCCTTTAATTTCAGCTTAACCATGGGAGAAGTACTATCTCTGTTTTTAAATTAAAGTTTAAATCCAATATTGAAGGAAAGTCCCATACATATGTCAACAAAAATATGAGAATCTACTTTCTTTTGACTCTGACTATGGATGCAAAATGTAGTGGAGCAGGTACCAGCCCTTGAGACATTCACACTGCAAACAATGCTTTTTTCTATAAAGGGTAGGCTTCTATAATGATAAAAATGTTTGCATTGCTGTACAGTTAGCAAAAGTAAAGCTTTTATAATTATCAGATAATGGTACAAGTATATCAAAATTATTTACATTTAAATCTTGCTTAAACAAATGATCAACTCCACAAACTTAGGATTCTGCTTGGCTGACCCAATGATCCCAGCCCTTGGAATAGTTACCAGCACACGGTCAGCCCTAAATAAACACTGTGTGTTGAGTGGACCTGTAATCATTCCCTTCCCAGCACTGGAAACAATGCAGAAGTAGTTGGTCATCAGATTTTGTGATGTTTAATGTGTTGATATATCAGAAGTCTTTGAACAATGCATTTATGATTGCAATGAATGTTAGATAATTATACATGAACAAGTGTATATTTTAAAAATAACATCTATAAACTCAAGTAATTATTGGCACTATAGAAGAGAAAATTAAGATCTAGGAAGATATGTTGCTTTGCTAAGGTAATATTGTTGAGGTAAGGAGAGGACATTTTCCACGTAGCGTTAAATTGCGTATTTTGCCTCCCTAAAGAAATGATGAATATTCTTCATATCAAAAGTGCTTCACTGGAAAGAATTGACAGAAGAGAGGCTAAAATTATAGAAACACCATTTTTCTAAACATGTAATTTAAGCAGTAATGGACACAGTACTGTTTAAAAGTTCCTTGAGTTTGTTTCCCAAACTTTGCCACTGTAATACTCCAACAGCTGTACAGGGTAGTCTCCTTTCGGAGGAGCTGACGTCATCTCATTTAGGGACCTAACACTATCATAGTATGTACTTGTTTGTTATTCCAAAAATTAGTGTTCAACACGAAAACTAAAGATAATAAAATTGATCATGTGAAGGATTCTTGTTAAATGAGTAGATCTTAGTTGCTCTTGACATAAAAACACAAATTCATGAAATAGCATATTTGTTAATTTGCTTCACTATAGCAATTATTTTTCTAACTATATGTATCCCATAACATCATGTTGTAAATTTTACAGATTTATTTATGAAAATGCTTCTAAAGCCAAAGATTTGGCCTTTAGAATGCATTGAATTACACAAATTATATTGAACATAAAAACTTAAATATTCTGTTATTTCACTACTAAGTATCAACCACTGTAGGAAGCATGATTTTTTTTCTCTTATTTTTCAGAGCATGCTTTTAAAAAGGAATAATTCAATTTCTCTATGTAGTTAGCCTTATTTACTTTTATTTTAGCTTTATCCCTTCTGCACCCCTCTACCTAAATTTTGCAGCATCTTCTTCTAAGCCTTATTCTGGTAATGAAACAAGCAGTGATAAAATCAGCTTATATGCTCCGAGTAGAGAAGATAGCGACTATGTCTCTAATCCTCTATATAGAGAAATAAAAACCACATTTTATCAGTCACATTCACTACGTGCTCCTGAGGAGCAATTTAAAGTAAATGAATTGGCAAACAGGTAAACTATTTCTTTAGTGCCCAGCTCACATGCCTCTAACCAAGGAAGAAGAGTAGTAGAATAAGCAGAGAAAGTCCTGTGATCCAAAAGTTATTGAGTAGAGAACAAAACTGTGGGTGTTCTTGGCATTTAAAGACCATGTTGATCTAAATGGAAAAGGTAGCATGGGAGAATTTCACTCTCCAGATGATACATCATATATTTTAGATCGCAAGAGTTAAAAATTCCTATGAAACATAAAATACTGCTAGAATTAAAAAAAAAATTCTGAATGGTCAAATGGGTCTTACACTACTGCAAGCTTTGA